GGGTTGTTGATCTTCAGCACTTTCTCCTCAGTTTTGAGGATGATTTAGAGGACAGGAGATCAGTGCTAGAAGCCAGTAAGCTGTAGATCTTCTTCTATTGGAAGTTTGACTGTACAAAAAGTGCTGTCATGCTTTTTGTGCACGTTTATTGCGGATCACCAACAACAATCACCAACAACAATCACCAAGTATAAATGCTTTTTTTTTTTACAGTTACTACTCATGTGTTTTTTTTTTTATAATACTAAAGTAGAAAATGTCCTACTTTATTAATTTCTGAATAATTATAATTAAATGTGATTATATTAATAATGTATTATTCAAAAGTCTGGGGTCTGTAACATTTTTTAATGTTTTTGACTTTTTTAATGTTTTTTTTATGTTGTCTTATGCTCACCAAAATCTGTTTTTATTTGATCAAAAATACCGTAAAACAACCATGTGAAATATTGTAACAAATTAAAATAATATATTTTAAACTGTGATGACAAAATTGTGCTCCTTTATATTTCTGTGGAAACAGAAGATTGTTCTTGAATGAATAGAAAATTCAAAAACAGCATTAATTTGAAAATATAAATATTATATATTATAAATGTCTTTGCAATAACCTTTTATCAACTAAATGCAATCTTGCTGAATAAAAACATCTTTTATTTAGCATCATTAAAAAAAAAACTCTTGCTTCAAACTGACACCAAACTTTAGAATAGTGTACACTGTAAAACAATATTTTTCAAAATTGTAAATAAAATAGATTATTGTAGAATATTTTACAAGAAAATACTTTTTTTCTTCTTTAATGTCATTTGTTACTTGCCATTTTGTTTGTGAAATGTACTAGCAATTTCTACACAAACACACTATTCTACACATACACTATTATAAAACTTAGACAAAAATATAAAACTTGTTTGTGAAATGTACTAGCAATTTCTACACACACACACACACACACACATATATATATATATATATATATATATAAAATTTAGGTCAAAAACGGCAGCTACATGCATAATTATATTAATTCGCTAAACTAGTTTAAAATGTATATATGTTCAAAATTTATAATGGTTTTATGTGCAGAGTATACACACATGTAGACGTGTATACACATAAAGTACTTGTGCAGTATATAATCCAACAATATATACCATATAAATTTACAAACTTCTCACTAAAATGAAATAAAAGATTCTTTATGGAATATGCATTAGCTATAATTTGCGCTCATGGTAGTGTATCATTGCTTTAATCAGAGTAACAGTGCTCATCGCGGCCCGCTCTGCTCCAGCAGAACTAACGGCATCGCCATTCAAGACGTCCCAAAGGTTTCACCCATAGAGACAGATGCGGTGCAACGGCACACAGAGCAGGCCTTTCTCTGCTCACGGGTAAAAGAAGGAGAGGAAATCAGATGCCTTGTTGGGGGAAATGGCTTTAGCAGATGGGGAAAAGCGTGTGGAGTCAGGGCCTTATTTAGAGAGAGCAGAGAAGACGAGAGACGGTCATTCTCATCTCTCAAAGCACCATGTCCCACCGCCGACATCTCGGGTGAGTAACACAAACTCTCTGTTTATCCTGCTTATTAGCCAAATTATCAGGATGGAGCTGGATGCTGTTCACACAAGGTTTGTTTTCATAGGCGGTTTCTCTCTTTCGCTATCCGTCATGACTTCTTGCTCACAGCGGTGCCCCGTGGCATGATTTACTGAGGCCTGATCGCATCTTTTTTTTTTCACTTTTGAGGAGACAAATAGAAAAGAGTTGCATAGGAAGACACATAATAGAAGGAAAGAGAGAGGGAGCATGAGACAAAAAATCTCACATTACCAACAGTGCGATATGGTGAGTCTTCAAAGAGCAAATCAAACTTCAGCAGCTTCTGTGGGGAGAAAAAAAACATAATATTAAAAATAAGTCCATTTGTACAGTTTAAACAACTTTTTTTCAAATTCTTGATCTGTAACATTCAATTTCAAAAGCCTTTGAACAAATTCTGAACAAAATATGAACTAAATAAACACAGTTTATAAATATTCAAAATAAATGCTTTAGTATTCAGTAGTTCTCTGGGTTCTACTCTCTTCCTAAAGCACAAAAGTCTAAATCTAATTAAATGCAGTTATAGAGAGAACACAACTTGACATATAAAGTTATATGCAGTTATATGAAGAACAAACACATTCAATATTTCTGCATCAAAACCCATGGAAAATATCAGCCTTAATCTAGATCTGCAATAATATAATGATCTGCCTAATTTTATCATCACAAATATTTTAGGTTCAACTTTATATTAATGAATAAGGAAAAGTGAATCTTACGTCCAGTTAAAAAAAAAAAAAAAGTCACATATTTTAATCAACTTTTTGCCTTCATTAGCTCATTTACAGAATATGTTCCTACAGTGCGACCAATTAATTTTTAAACAATTTTAGTCTTTCTAATTAATATAAAGCATAATAATTATATAATTATAATGCTTTAAACTTATGCTTTTATAATGCATAAAATAATTGCTTCTATAAATGCCTTTTTTAATAGTTGTAGTATTTCAACTACTATAATTTGACTACTTATACGCATTTTGAAAAATCTCCAGCACTACACAAATTACGCAAAAAATACAAGACAGAACACCAGCTTTACTGTGAATCGTTTATCTCTGCAGGATAAAAGATAAAAGATTTATCACTAAAGATTTACAAACAGCTGAAATGAAAGGACGTGTCTGCGTCTGTTCTACAAAAAGCACTGAAGAGTAACCAGAATTAAAAGCAGACTTTGAGAGCATGTAAATATCAGACGGAAAATAGTCATGGTTTGCTTGAACTATGGACTTTTTCAATTTCAATTGCCACCCATGTCTGCTGCCCATACGTTTCTGTTGTTGATGCTATTTAAAGTACTTGCACAAAACATCTGACAAGACAATAATCATATTTCTAAACTGCACAGTGACATCCTTCTTCTATACATACACGCATTAAATGGTCATACTGTGAAATAAATCCTGAACTCTTAAAAAATATTTTTCAGTTGCATTCTTCTGGCTCTCATAAGTGTTGCATTTTCTGTTGATATAAAAAGTTAAAAAATACTGATTCATGTTTATCTCAGTTTATCTCAGTCTGCAGTGCAAACGATAGCATGTAATTACATTTATATTTAACATTTGCCAACTGTAAATTCCACAGATGTGCAGCAGTACAATGCAAATAGCTTAGAGATGGAATTGATTTTGTGGATACACAGTTATAGTGCCATTGCTGATTCATGTTTATCTCAGTTTATCTCAGTCTGCAGTGCAAACGATAGCATGTAATTACATTTATATTTAACATTTGCCAACTGTAAATTCCACAGATGTGCAGCAGTACAATGCAAATAGCTTAGAGATGGAATTGATTTTGATACACAGTTATAGTGCCATTGTGCTCTGAAATATTTGATGTGCTGTCAAATTCTCAAAAACATCTGTTGGACAGTTTTGCCACACTGACATGATTCTCATAATCACTCAGTCCCGATAGAGTTTCACAAAGACGTCAGTCCTCTATCAATTAAAGACAAGTGTTTGCCAGGATGTTGTCCAGTTAAAATGTTTTATTCTCCTGTATATTTCTTTTTTTTTCTTTTGGTATTTAAAATTCAACTTGAAATGATTTTGAACTCAATTAAAATTCCAAGTAAATAAATAAATAAATGAATGAATGAATGTACTTTTGTACCCCTACCTTTGTTGAAAATCATATATTTTTTATTTAATTACATTTGAATTCAAATATCTTGTTTTTATAAATATTTATATTTAAATTGAACTAAATAAATAATCTGAGATTATAAATGCTATGTTCAGTTGTTTTCTGTGCTTCTCTAAAGTGTCCTTAAGCACAACAAAAACTTATGAGAAAAAAAAGATGGTACTTTTGTACCCCTAGCTTTTGTTGAAATGGAAAATGGAATTTAAATATCCTTTTCTAATAAATAAATATAAATAAATAAAAGGTACTTTTGTACCCCTACCTTTGTTGAAAATCATATGATATTATTACTGATTTTATTTAATTACATTTGAATTTGAACATCTTATTTTTTAATAAATTTTTTTTTTTTAAACAAAACAAACAAACAAACAAATAATCTGAGATTATAAATGCAATATTCAGTTGTTTTCTGTGCCTCTCTAAAATCTCTTAGAGAAAAAAAATATATGGTACTTTTGTACCCCTAGCTTTTGTTGAAAATCATACAGATATATCTGATTTTAATTAAAATGGAATTTAAATATCCTTTTCTAATAAATGAATAAATAAATAACATCTTTAAGATGTTCTTGAGTGCAGTGCCCTAAAAAATAGGGTACTTTTATAACTAGCTTTTGTTGAAAATCATACACATATTTTTATTTATTTTTATTACATTTTAATTCGAATATCTTATTTATAAATGTTAATTTAATTTAATATAAATGTAACAAAACCATAACTCACTGAATTAGCTGTTAAATGAACAACTGGCCTTTATAAATAGCAGAGGAAGTAGTGTGTGTGTTTATCTAATAGATGTACCGATGCACAAGTTGCTCTAGTTCACCACACACACACACACACACACAATAGGGATGCGCGCTGATGTTGTCTACTAAACCAACCCAGCAGCCACGGATTCCACTGCAGCATTATGAATGTGTCCTCAGAGATGATCTGGGAGGTGTGCTTTACACACTGACTGAACGCAGTAAAAAGCCTCCATGCTATTCCTTGTGTTGGTGGTACAATTTGTGTCTAATAAATCATGAAAGTATTTGACTGTAAAATCCGACTATCTCTGCTGTTTGTCACACGCTCCAATTAATTTTGTGGCGCCCACCGGCTTCTCCGGCCACAAATGGTTTTGTAACAGCTAAATACATCACTAAAAGTCTTTTGTACCCCCCGGTCCACCATACTGTTTTAATAAATCCTTTCATTTCAAAAAGTGACGTCAACATTTTATGATTTAATGGCTTCATTCTCGCTGTTGGTGCCTATGACGAAGGCCAAATCCCAGAGTGCTGGAGACTCCCTGTGCTTAATAGGGGGCTTGGGAGGTTTCTTCCTATAGCGGACTAATGGATTCTCAATGTGAGGATTGGACTTCATCAGGAAAAACCCACATGTGATGTTGGACTCTCTCTTTAAACGCTATTCCAAGGTTTAAGTGCCATTCAAGTTGAAGTATGATGGCCATTAATCTATAGCTTTTGTCCTTAGTTTCTCATCAACCAGTAATAATTAGTCAGGCTGTGTTTAATATGTAAATGGCCTTGCTGACCTCTACTGGTGTGTTATTGGTGTGAACTGCCCGGTTACACTCATCGAGCTGATACAGCAGCCAGATTTTAAAGTCTAAGAATACTGAAAATCTGAGTTTTGTTTTTTTTTTCATTTAAAGCTGGAAATATCATTTCATTTTATTTATTCTGAGACATTTCAATACAAAAAATTATTTTTATAAAAAAATTTGTATATATTATTTACATTTTTTAAGTTTCTGCACTATTTTTAGGTCACTAATCAAATATGCTGCTCATTAAAAAAGGGTGCATATAGGTTAAGTTGTAATTTTTGCTCAAACTGCTATGCAGATTTGTGTGAGAAATATTAGTTTTTAAAATAATGCAAACAAAATATTTTTTTGTGGCTTTAGACATTGTACCCCAAACCTTTAGATACAAAATACTGAGAAATTACATGACATAATCATAATACTTCAACCCACATTTAAATGATTATGTATAATAATTATAATAAAATATAATTGAATTAAATATATTAAATATTTAATTACTCATAGTAATAATAATTAATTCAGTATTTAATTATTCAATTCGATGATATTTTATTATATTTAAATTGTTAATAAAATTGTTTTTAATAACAAAATTCTATTTTATTATTTTAATTAAAATAATATAGTGCCTCGCACATCCAAATCATTCGTAGGTGTATGGGATAAAAGTAGAATATAAAGTAAAAAATATATATAAATCCCGCACACTACTCAAACTTGAATGATCACAAAAAGTTTTTTCCTCTCTTTTTATACTGAAAAATATAATAACAATAATAGATACTTTTTGTGATGATGTAAGTTTGAGTTGTGCGCAGATTTTTTTTATTAAATTAAATTCTAAAAAAAAAAATTTAAGTTTATGAAATGTAATAATATTAAATATTACACTGTTAGATTAATTATTTAATTAAAATTTTAATTTTTCTATCAATAGATCAAATACTCTCATCTCCTTTTGATAATTTTATGTTTATTTGATCAATTATTTATTTTTATAAAAAAAAAATTTAAATTAATTTCTTCTGTTGTCAGCAACTGTTTTATATTTAAGAACCATTAAATAAAAAATATCAAAAAATACTGTGATATAAATTGACAGCATAATTATGTTTGTCCACAGTGGCGGATACGCTACCACTAAACGCCTCTTTGGTATGGCAAACATAATTTCCATTAAACAGACGCGCATCACCCATCAAGACAGAGCCAAGCTAAAATAGCAGGTTAACCTCCTTATGCTGTCAGTCATACTGTGATCCAGCCCAGCAGAACTCACTGACCCATGCATATGTTGTCCTCACTGGGGTCAAACACACACACGCACACACAGGAGTTCTCAAGGGAGGCATTACTTCTGGCTGTTCTTGCCTGAGAGTGGGAAGTGGAGCTCTTGAGCATTTCCCCATTTTTCTGCAGGACAATCCCATCATCATCTAATCAAGCCTGCTGTTTAATTGCCAACTCCAACTCGATCCCATCTCCATCCTCGAGCAAGGGTCGTGACGCAGGCTCGGGACAATAGAAGGATATTGAAACACTTCGGCATCCACTTGAAAGTCCCGATCGCTCCTGCCAGATCAGTCAGCGCTGGACTTGTGTCTCCTCAGACGGCGTTCTGCAAAGACATGTCAAAGTGTGTTGGCAAATGTGTACCTGCTTAAGAATAGGTCACTTAAAAATACTGGGGAAAAAAAATACTATTTACTCACCCTCATCCAAACCTGTATGGCGTTAATTTTTCTGGAACACAAATGGAGAAATTTTGAGTTGCCACAAAATACTGCAGCCACAAATATGAATTAATTTTCAAGATTTCAACAAAGTTTTTAAAGTATCTTTGTCCTATTTAGATCTTGAAAGACATTGCATGGAATCTTTTGGGGTTTTTAAAGCTTTCGATGCCAAAGACCCTCAAATAAAATGATTCCCTTGCGCGAGACCCCTTAGTAAAATATAAAAGCTGCTATATATTTTCATTTATAAAGACTCATTAATTCTGTGTTAGAGAAATAAATTATATTACATGTCTAAACTTGCAAATACAGCTTTTCAATAATAAATACACTGCCATTCAAAAGTTTGGTATCGGTAAGATTTTTCATGTTTTTAATGAGTCTCTCTTATGCTCATCAGTTTGATCAAAAATACAGAAAAAAAAGTAATATTGTGAAATATTATTGCAATTTCTAATATTGGTTTCCTATTTTAAAATGCTTTAAAATATCATTTATTTCTGTGACGCAGCGCGGAACGATCCTTCAGAAATCCTTCTAATATTCTAATATGATTTCTGAAGGATCATGAGACATTGAAGTCTGAATTCAGCTTTGCTTCACAGCAATAAATTATATTTTAAATTATATTAAAATAGAAAACTGTTATTTTAAATTGCAGTAATATTTCACAAAATTACATTTTTTTCTGTATTTTTCATCAAATAGATACAGCCTTGATGATCATAAGAAACTTCTTTAAAAATGATAAAATCTTACTGATCCCAAACTTTTGAACAGCAGTGTAAATACACAATAAATTTACAATAATTAAAGCAAGAAAGAAAAATTAGAAAGCAAAATGAAACAGTAATATTATCAAATTATAAGTTTAAAAAAAATGAAATTACTTTTATTCAATGAGGATGCATTAAATCGATCAGTGACAGAAAAGACTTTCCTCTTTCAAATAAATGATGAAATATTGATATAATAAGAAATGTTTAAACAAAATCAGCATATTAGAATGATTTATGAATGATCATGTGACACTGAAGACTGGAGTTATGTTGCTGAAAATTGGGCTTTGCCTCACAGGAATAAATTACATTTTAAAATAAATTCTAATAGAAAGCACTTATTTTAAATTGTAATAATATTTCAGAAAATTACGGTTTTACTGTATTTTAGCTCAAAGAAAGGCAGCCTTGGTGAGACTTTCAAAAACATTTTTTAAAACCTCCAACCTTTAAACAGTATGTTAATATTATATGTATATTATACGCATATATAATTTTTTTATCCTTTTACAGCTTTTTAAAAAAAAATATTCATTAAAATGATTAGCCTGGACCCTAGTTTGAAATGAAATAGACATACATATGAGGATTAGCAGTCAAATCAGCATAAGATGCTTTCATTCATGATCTCTGTAAGGTACTGTGGGAAATATCCAACTATCAGTGAATCCTACTGAGTTAGCATTGTCATTCTGATTATGCACACCGTAATAATATACAGAATGATGCATCAATTTCAACTTGTTGACAGCAAAATGATTCAAAATGTCAAGTTGCTGTAATAAAAAAGACATGATGTTAAGGATTTGTATGAGCAAAGAGTCAGAACCACTAAAAATCCAGTGATTTCAGCACCCTTTGCTTCATATTAGTATCAGTCGCACCATCGCTTGCTCTGGCCCGTGTTTTTTTGACACATGATGAATCTCAGGCGAGTTTTACTGAGCGTATGAGGGTTACATAAGCAGGGCGGGAGAATGAAGCGTAAGCTTTAAACCGAAGAGACAGATCCAGGTCCAGCCCCTATCCAGACCCTCTCCAGAGATTCATTAAGGATCTCCTTAACTTCCTGTCTGACCCAACATCTGCCTGGCTGGTCCGAGAGAGAGATGAGGAATATTCGTGGGGACAAAAAGAAAGTCTCTATAAAACTTTCTTATGATAGGTCATTTCCCTGCATATTGCAGATGTGGATGACTGTAATGCACAAAAAATTAAGTGGAACTTCACTTCACGGAGACATCCCTCATTGTCAGGTCGCTTGGCCGAGTTTGAATACAATTCATGATTTAAGGAACAATAGGGAGTTTTGTCAGACAAGACGGGGGCGTAGAATAACTTCTCACCGGAAAGCGAAGCGTAGGACAATCTCGAAGGGATGTGAGCGTGCTTCGTTAGAACTGCATTATGAAACAATGAAACAAGATTCTCTACTTTCACTGGAATTTGGACATTCGAACAGACATTTGCCAAGCATGTGTTAGCCCGCTTTCCAAGGCAGAACAAAGCAGGAAAAATCTAAACTCTAGATTCCAAGACATTTTCACAGGAAATGGAGTCAACCGCACGTGGATGTAGTGGAAATGCTAAGGATCACAAAGCGTGTGTAAAAAAGCAGCTATAAAGAGACGCCTGGAAAGCATGGGGTGTAAATTTGGGCCCACAAGGACAGATCTGTGTAATTTGTTGAGTCACAGCCATCATATCATCTACTAAAACTGTTTGTTTTTTTTGCAAAGAAATTAATAGGCTACTTGTATTCAGCAAGGACACATTCAATTGATCAAAAGAGACTTTTCCGATGTTAAAAGGTTTCTATGTTAAATAAAATAGGCTACTGTTCTGTTTCTATTCATCAAAGAATATGGAAAAAAGAAAGTATCATAGTTTCCGCGAAAATTTTAAGCATAACAACTATAGAAGTTTGTTTCTGCCACAGGAGTTTATATCTCACAATTCAGATTTTTTTTTCTCTCAATTCTGAAAAAAAAAAAAAACTGATTTGGAAGATACTGTCAGTTTTTTTTTTTGTGAAAAGTGAGCTATAAACTTGTCGCAAATGAACTATTAATTTTTTTTTATTTTTTTTTTATTAATCCATGGCAGAAAAAAAAAATCGCAAGAATTGCAAGATCAGTTTTTTTTTTGGAAAAAAAAAGTCAGACTTGCGAGATGTTAACATAGAATTGTGAAATGTAAACTCGGAATTCAGAAAAAAAGTCAATAAATGCAAGATGTTAACTCAAAATTGCAAATTGTAAACTCAGAATCCAGAAAAAGTCAGAATTGCGAGGTTAACTTCGAATTGTGAAATGTAAACTCAGAATTAAAAGAAAA